CCACACCTGAGAGGCCTGTCTGATACATTCGTCGTTGTGTGCTTGAACAGCAAATCACTGTGGGACCGCTGGATCTCGATGAGAGGAAGGAGATCGTGCGTAAGACGCTGTGGGAGTACCGAAAGAAGCTCGATGATAGGCAGATGAAGCGGCTGCTCAGCAAGAAGGACGCCTATAAGCCCCTCTACCTCATCGTCGCATGCGAGGAGCTGCGCGTGTTCGGAGTGTACGAGCTGGTCAGCGAACGCATCGACTCCATGGCCGACACCGTGCCGGCGCTATTTGAGGAGGTGCTGATGCGACTAGAAAAGGACCACGGGTGGGACCTGGTGCGAAACGCGCTCGCCCTGTTGCAGTGCTCTCGCGGCGGCCTGCTCGAATCCGAGGTGCGCACGACACAACATGCAACATACACATATGTATGACACGCTTGCTGACGTGGAGTGGATTGATTGGGTCAGATGGTGACGCTGCTGTCAAGCCCCATCCAGCCGGATAACATCGATAGGGCCGAGACGACCTTCATCGATAGCCTCAGGAACGGCACGGGCATCGTTCCGGCCTCCGTCTGGTCGCGTCTCTATCGCTCCCTCAAGCCCTACCTCCGACCACCTGGTACGCACATATACGACACGCACACGCACACGCACACGCACACGCACACGCACACACGCACACACGGGCGTCGACTAACGCTCAGGCATTGGGTGCAGGTGAGTCTGGCGAGGAGGGCGTGTTGGACTTTTTCCATCAGCAGCTGTCGTTTGCGGTGGAGCGCCGATACCTCCAGAACAGCGCCGAGCCCGAATTGGCCCAAGCCACGCACGCCCGAGTTCGTTCTCCTTCGCTCTCCTTTTATTCTGTCGCTTTTCGTTCTTCCCCCCCCCCTGCGCCGTGCTGACGACAGAATGTGTTTGGAATGATCAGCTGGCCACGTACTTCTGTCATCTGGCGGATCCGGAAGGCGACCTATCGTGGAGCAGCTACCACAGGCGTGGCATGTCCGAGGTGGCTCACCACCAGACGCAGGCCCGCATGTGGAAGGAGCTGGACTCCACCCTCTGCGATCTGGCCTTTATCGAAACCAAGTGTACGCACACATTACACACACATTACACAATTATGGTGCACATGTACACTTGAGCTCATATATTCACTGGTGTCGACAAACGATCAGGCTCAATGGGAATGACCTACGACTTGGTGGCGGACTACCTCAGCGTGGCCGTCGTGCTGGACGACCCCAAGGCGCAGGTGGCCAAGCCCGTGCGTAAGAAGCTCATCGAGTTTCAGCGCTTCGTCCAGGCCCGCGCCTACATTCTGGCGTCCAGGCCCGAGCAGACGTTCGCGCAGGCGGCCAACCTGCCGGACTCAACCGCGCCGGCCAGCAAGGCCATGGCGCGCTGGTACGCGGGCAAGGAGTCGCGACCGTGGCTCAAGTGGGCCAATAAGACCCAGACGCCCAACCCGTGCATCATGACCCTTGCTGGTGCGCCACTCCTCTTCCTCATCCTGCAGGAATTGTGCACGATTACTGGGTAGTCTGGATGACGAGATTTGCTGACTGTGGTTTGTGGTGACGTCATCAGGTCATGGCATGGTGGTGCGCAGGTGTCAGTACTCCCCGCTGGCCGGTTCCAACCGCATTCTCTCCTGCTCCGACGACAACACGCTCAAGATCTTCGATTCGAGGACAGGTGCGCACACCACCGCAACGCTCGCACCGCACACACGCACACGCGACTGACATTGTGTCGCGCAGGCGCTGAGTTGACCACGCTGAATGGACACACGTCATCGGTGTTGAGCGCGACGTATTCGCCCGACGGGCGTAAGATAGCGTCGTCGTCGTGGAACAAGCAGATCAAGGTGTGGAACGCCGAGACCGGCGTCGAGCTGGCCACGATCACCGGTCACAAGGGAGTCGTGACCCAGGTGCGCTTCACGCACGACGGCCGACACATTGTGTCGTGCTCGCTCGACAAGACCGTGCGTGTCTTCTCCGCCGACACCTACACCGAGATTACTGCCATCAAGGCACATTCCGAGGTATGTCACTGCGCCAACACACGCACACGCACGCGCACACACGCACACACGTACACACCAAACGAGACTTACCTGAGTGCAACGCCACCAGGGAGTGAACAGCGTGGCCTGCTCGCCAGATGGAAAGTCGATTCTTTCGGCCTCGACAGACAAGACCATCAAGAAGTGGAACTGGGGCACCTGGGACGAGGCGTGCATATTCTCGGGTCACACCAATGCCGTCAACCGGGTTGCGTTCTCGCCGGACGGCAGCAGTGTCGTGTCCGGCAGCGACGATAGGAGCGTCCGATTATGGTAAAACGCACATGGCACACGCGGCACACGCACATACCACCGCACGCGCACGACATGAATACTGATTGGGGGTTTGATTTCGAATGGTCCAGGTCGGCCGACGGTTCGCTCAAGGGGACGCTGACCGGCCACAAGGACGGCGTGGCGGCCGTCAGCTTCTCGCACGACGGCAAGCGCGTGGTGTCGTCGTCGCACGACAACATGATCATCGTGTGGGCCGCCACCGGCTCCTTCCACCAGCTCGCCATCCTCATCGGTCACACGTACGCTCCCGCCGCCAGTTCATCCCTTCATGTTGGTGTTGTTCTTTCACGACACGACACGACACGACACGACACACACGACACGACACGACACGACGCGCGATGAATAGGGGTACGGTGTTCGATTGCTCGTTCTCGCCGGACGATAGCAAGATCGTGTCGGCCTCGTTCGATCGCACGGTCAAGATGTGGGAGTGCGACCCAGCGTGGGTGCCCCAGGGGGAGAAGGGCAAGTCGCGCCGCCCGCCCAAGCCCTTCACCAACATCACCGGCCACACGGCCCGCATCCTCAATACGGCCTACGCGCCCAACGGCCAATTCGTAGCCACCGCCTCCCGCGACAAGACCCTCAAAGTCTGGTACGTTCGTACACCATCGCACACGACACGACACAGACACACACGATACACGGTGGCACACGCTCACACACACGTGTCAATCGCAGGAACGCACACACGGGTGTGGAAATGGCGGCGCTCGAGGGCCACAAGAGTAACGTGTTTGCGTGCGACTGGTCGCCCGACTCGCAGAAGGTGGTGTCGGCGTCCCGCGACAACAACGTGGGCGTGTGGATCGCGAACACTGGCCAGGTACCACACACACACACACACAACACAGCACACACGTGCGTGTCACTGACATGTGCATGTGTGCGGTGCGAAGATGGTGGGAGCGATGAGCGGACACACGGGCGTGGTGCTCGACTGCAGCTGGTCGCCCGACAACTCGGCCATCGTGTCGACGTCGGCCGACAAGACCATCCGGCTGTGGTGCCCGCAGACCCAGTCGCAGGTGGGCATCATGTACGGCCATCGGGAGGCCGTCAACTGCTGCGCAGTGTCGCCCGACGGCCGGCGCGTCGTGACGGGCAGCGACGACCGCACGCTCAAGCTGTGGGACATGAAGCGCCGCTCCAAGCTGGCCACCTTCAGCGGCCACCAGAAGGGCATCTTGGCCGTCGCCTTCTCGCCCGACAGCAAGAAGGTGGTTTCCGGCGGCAACGACAAGCTCCTCATCGAGTGGAGCGCAGTCAACGCCAAAAAGTAAGCGCACGACACACGCACCACCCACACACATGGCACACACACACACGCACACACGACACACACGCACACATGGCACACACGACACGACACGACACGACACGACACACGGTGCGGTTACTGATGTGTGTTGTGTAGGTTGGCTGTTTGGACCAAGCACAAGGCGCAGGTGACGGACGTGGCGTATTCGCCCAACGGGCAGTACATTGTGAGCGGCTCCACGGACAACATGATCATCATCTGGGACGCCCACACCAAGCAGGAGGTCTGCGCGTTCACGTGCCTGAGCCGGGTCACCTCGGTCTCCACGTCTCCCGAGGGCCTCGGCATCGCCGTGGGCGACGGGTCCGGCACCTTCTACGTACGCCTCTCCCTTCTTTGATCCTTCATCATGTCGCACGCGCACCGCACAACTCACGCTGAGCACACTGCAGATCTTCACCCCCGTGGGTCTGTCGTCCACGGATGGTGGCGAGTCGGACGCGAAGTCCAAGCAGAAGGAGAAGACAAAGAACTGACACCACCTTGTCCCGAACAGATTTGTTTTTGATATTTCCCCGCCAGTAGTAAGTTCGCTGAACCGCGCCTGTATTGCTCTTTCCTTCGACGATCGTGGCCACTTTTTATTTTTATGTCTCCGCTTTCTTCGTTCTTTCTTTTCCTTCTTGTCCGACCATGGCACACAGATTGGCAGCCCCCAAGCTGGTGACCCTCCTCCTTCTGGGCGCTCTCCTGTTCTGCTGCGCCGTCGCCTGCGCTCCGGCACCCTCGCCCCCGTCCTTGCCTCCGGCCTACCGCGCCACCTTCAGTCGCTACACCACCTTCACCCTGGGCGCCAACTCCACGCAGACCGACGGAGTCATCTTCCAGAGCAACGTGTTCCAGGCCTCGAAGGTGGTCGGCCGCCAGGACTACTTCGACCAGACCGTTCTCATGCTCTTCGCCAAGAACGAGACCTACGCGTGGCTCACCTGGTGGGGCTTCTGTGGCAGCAGCCGCGGCCACCTCGAGTACTTTGACGTACTCCAGGACGCCATCAAGGGGACCTCGTTCGCGGGCCTCGTACGTATGTCCGACGGCCGCCCGGCCCAGCTCTGGGAGTACCGGTCGCCCAGCTTCAGCGACTGGGTGCGCCGTGTGTGGGTGACCAACGACACGCGTCAGGAGCCGCTCCGGGCATGCTCCTACTGGGCCTACGACAACACGGGCTACGATGTGGAGTTCACGGGCGTGAGCGCAGGGGGGTCGCCGGACGACTTCAAGCCGGCCGGCTCGTGCTCGGTCCCGTCCGTCGTCGTCACCGGCCACCACGGCTTCGACTCGAATGCAGTGGAGCCGAAGGAGATGCTGGCTGGCCGCCGTGCGAGCGAGGCCATCACCGAGGCGAGCTTAATGGCCAGGAAGCTGAGAAAGGATTAAGCATTCATGAAGGCCAAGCCAGGTTGTGGGAAGTTCTGTACTGTAAGGACAACCAACAGTTCCTGATTGTGATTGTGTGATCGATCCCCCAGAATACACCGCACCATATGCTTTAAGCTTGGGCAGCTACCCACTACCCCCCCCTTCCAAAAAGCGTATGGTGCCCGTGGGAACAGCCTATTAATTAATTATCCCTGTGGGGCAACAGCAATAAAATACACACGCCCGACAGGGCGAAGGGGCGAAACTACAAGATGGAAGCTGGGGTGGTGGAAGCAAGTGAAAGGGAGGTCGTATTCCAACGTAAAGCTAGGAATTGTAGTGTATGTAAACGCAAGCTGAAGGAATGTAACAAGGATCTATGCCCAACAAAAAAGAAAAGAAAAATCGATCGTGGTAAGCCCAAAAAATATGTATTCATCTTATTATTATTGAAATTTATTTATATTTATGCAATTAATTGGTTTGTTGCCTCAGCAGGAGCATCACCAGTGGCGGTCTCAGCGGGCGCACCACCGGCGGCGGTCTCGGAGGGCGCATCGGCCGCAATCATGCAGTGGCTGCACAACAGAAATGGAAGCAAGTGCAACTCACTAAAGATGCCGAATGGCGAGAAAAAGAGGGGTGGTCAGAGACTGAGCGTGCACTACCACCACAGGATGAGGAAGTACCTGGTGGACCAAAGAACATCCCAGCAGCAGCAGCAGCTTCACGTCTTCAGCTTTTTCTTCTCTTCTTCTCCAACTTCTTCAACAACAGCGTCATCCCTCTATCATTGGCCCAAGCTGCAGAGAGAGAGAAAGCACAAGAGGAAACATGAAACACTCATCAGCATGCTTGCAGCCACCACAAATCCTTCTCTGTTTCCATCTCTTCTCTCTTTTGTTTTCTCTCCATTTCTCTTATCATGGGGTTCACCCCTCATGCAAAGGAAGAGGACTATTGGAAGAGAGGAGACAATGTGTGTGGCAGCAAGTTCATCTGTAATGTGATGAGTAGAGAGGCATACCATGAAATGAAGAAGTTGCTGTGGATTGACATTGACAAGCTGATTGAACACCTCAACAAGAAGTGCCAATACTACTAGGAACCCTTCTGCAACATTGCAGTTGATGAATCTCTGATCCTGATGAAGGCCACACCCTGTTGGTGTGAAACTCTGGTCAATTGTTGATCAAGAGCAGTTCCTCTATGGTGTCTTGCTCTACAAATGCATCACTGGAGGGACCAAGGAGGCAACAACAGCAACACTACTTCAGATGGTGTCATACCTCCCTGGTGGTTGTCACTTCATCATTTGAGCCAACTCCTACTTCAGTGCCTTTGACACAGCCACCAGCCTTGACGCCCAAGGGTATTGGTTCACCCTGTCCTGCTGGAAGGATCGCCCATCACAGCTCTTCAGCCACTTCCTTCACACTTGCAACACCCAGCCAAACACCTGCACCACCCTCTATCATCACTCCTCCACCACACAGCGCATGATGGCCACCATCAAGTTCCAGCATCAGAAGACAGAAGGAGAGAAGGTGGTCAACTTCCTCAGCAACATCTTCACAGGAAAGGGTACCATGATGAGGAAGAATGAGCCAATTGTTGACATTGCCCATGACTACAACACCCACATGGGCTATGTTGACCAAGTCAATGTGGCCTGCCAGTTGTTTGCCTATCCCCACAAGCTCATCAACTGGAAACACACAGTATTCTTCTGGTTAGTTGAGGCAACCATCCACAACTGCTGTGTCATGTGGGGGCATCTCCACCCCTCAAGGAAGGAGAGCTTCAGTACCTTTTGATGGGAGCTGGCGGACAAGCTGCAGCAAGAAGGAATGGGTCTTCAACATCACCACCACTACCTTGTCTTGGGCAAGAGGAAGAAGTGTGCAGTCTGCCACAAATGCAACATCAACTCAAACACCACGCTCAGCTGTCCTGCCTGCAATCATCTTCCTCTTCATTGGAACTGCTATCCCCTCCTCCATCCTCCTCAGCTCACCTCTCAAGGACAGAAGTGAAGGCAAGATGAACCTGATCTTGGCCAAGTGCCAAGCAGTGAAGTCAACACAACTGCCAGCAAAGAGGGCAACCTGAGCAAAGACAATGACAGGTACCTGAGTGATGATGGCAATACAAATCTTGCAGATGATGGTGGAGAAATTGAGAGCGAGGGCAAGGGCGAGGGCGAGGGTGAGCAGGGAGAGGGTACCAACAATGATGTCCTCACTGAGTGGATGACATGGCTGCTGTCCACCCAGGGTGATGAAAGTGAACCAAGAGCGAGTACCAAGAGTGAGGACCAAGGCGATTGACTCAAACTGTGACCAAGGTGAGCAGACTGAGCCAAGTGTGAGGAGGGAAGGTGGATGGCTGAGGATATGATGTAATGGTGGAGGGGAGCAAAAAAGGAGGATTTTAAATAGATGGATGTATTTTCAATCCTCCTTTTTTAAAACAAAAGAAGCACAACTTGCAAGATGGGAGGGTGTGGGGTGGGGAGGGTGCAGGCGATTTGAGGGCAAGATGGGAGGGTGCGGGTGTGGAGATTGGAGCGCGAGTGTGGGATTGGAGGGCGCGGGCGTTTGGAGGGCGCGGGCAATTTGAGGGCAGGGGCGTGGGGATTGAACGCAGGTGCGGGCGAGGGGAAGATGGAAGTACAAGAAGATGGAGGCGAAAAAAGCTTGTGTTTCTTTCACCCACCAAGCCGTCCCAAACAGTCTACACCGGAGATAACAATTTCAATTGTATTTCTGTTTGATTCTTGACCCACATGGTTGTTGCCTGGGTCACCATACGCTTTTTGGAAGGGGGGGGTAGTGGGTAGCTGCCCAAGCTTAAAGCATATCCTCTTTTTTTTGCAGTTGGCATCTTCCCACCCCCTTTGTTGTGCCTATGCACACCTCCTAGCCAAGCAAAGGCTGGACTATGTTCAGCTTCGTCTTGCAGGTGGTTTGTCTTCTCGTTGAGGCACTGCAACCACATTGGCCTGGTTAAAAATCTGATTGGTTCAGTGTTGATCCTATGTTGCACTCGAGTGCAGACAAAATCAGACCGCACTGTAACAAACGACAAAAAAGTCTCCATCTGGTGGCTGTTGGATACGGCCATACTGCGCAGAAAGCACCGCTTCCCATCCGAACAGCGAGTTAAGCTGCGCCAGGCGGTGTTAGTACTGGGGTGGGCGACCACCCGGGAATCCACCGTGCCGTATCCTCCTTTTTGCTTCTTCACTCTCGCCACTATTGCTTCAGGTCGCCTCATCATCGTCTGCCACAGCTGACAAACTGGGTGAGCCAAACCTGCCTTTTGCACTCAGGCCTGAGGCGAAGACAGTTTTTTATTGTCGACATCAGCGCACTCGCCTGTGCGTGACCTAACACACTGACTCGGTAGGTGGTAGGATGCCCAGAGGGCCGTGCTGTAACGGCCTAGAGATACCCCAACTCGGCACTGCCCGATGATTTGAGGGCCAGTCATTGAATGACCGTAGAGAAAGAAAATCAGCGCGAAGCCGTCCTAGCTCAGTCGGTAGAGCGCAAGACTCTTAATCTTGTGGTCGTGGGTTCGAGCCCCACGGTCGGCTATCTCTTTTTGTTTTTGTACACAATCAAGCGAACTGCTGCAGATGGAGGCCAGATAAAACCATCCATTGACCTGGTCCTTGTTCGGATGGAACTTTGATCTCTCTTGTTTGTCCTCTCGTTTTTTTATCTTTGTTTCGCAATGAAGCTGCAAAAGGCCTGATGAAGGGCTCTAGTGGGTGGTATCCTCCTCTTTCTTCTCGGCCTCAGTCTCATCTTCTTCCGCAGGCAGTCCGACCAGCTCCAGCGAGGCTCGCCATAGCTTGTCCTGCGCCTCAATGTCGCGCGACTGTGGCACGCAAAGTGTTGGCCCAACGCGACGACATGACACATGCGAGATAGAGTACCTGGGCTGATGAGGGGATTTCGCGACAGTCGGAGTAGTACTTGCCGCCGACGCCCTCGAGTTCGTCCGCCGTGGCCGCCCAGATCGTGGTCTCTGTTACGCGTGTGGTGAGCCACCAGGCATTGCGTTGGAAGACTGAGGCGAGGGGAGTACCGGCGCCTTGGACGGGCGTCTTGAAGAAGACGGAGCCCAGGCCGAAGGCGATGTACTTGAGCGGGCCGGGGAGGTCGCGCCACAGGGACGTGTTCACCACGCCCGGATGGAGCGCGCAGATCGTCACTCCGCTCCCTGCGGTCACATGGAACGATACGACACGCACACGACAATACAACACATGATGCACGCGCAGTATGTGAGCCTCTAGTGTAGCCACGTAGCGAGTGTGTGTGTGTGTGTGTGGCGTGGAGCGCACCTTCGAGGCGGCGCTGTAGTTTGTTGGCGTGGAGCACCTGGGCGAGCTTGGACCGCGAATAGGCTGTGTAGCGGCTGTAGTTCCGCTTGCTCTGCAAATTGTCAAAGTCCAGATTGGCTGCACACAGCGGACGCTTGGCGTCAGTCACACTGAGCCGCACGCAGACACACGAAGTGCATGCCACGTACCCATGGTGTGCGCGCGCGAGGAGACATTGATGATCCTCGCAGGCGCCGATTCCTTCAGCTTATCCAAAAGCAAGTGCTGCAG